TTAGATTCTTGATTTGGACTTTTGTATTTTTTTAATTTGTTTATATCGTCCTTATGAAAGGTAAAGTTGCTTTAAATAAGAAACAAATATTTTTAAATAAAATATTTTCTTTAACTTATAATGTTTATTTCCGTTTACGTTTTTATTACATCTTGCAACTGAAATTGTTAAATAGTCAAAAATAATTATAAATATACTTTTCCCACATGATTTTTTTGTTATTTAATGTGTTTTTTCGCTCCAAATTCAGTGAGTGGAATTCTGGAGTTGCAAAAGTAAATAATCTGTCTCCAGATCAGACTTCCTTTTACAGGCATTGGCCTGCATTTGAGAGGGTCACGCAATTCCCATTCGAGTAGCCGCGCCGTCTTTCTCTGTCTGTGTGTAATGGAACGGACCGTGGCTTTTTAATATACGAGTTTGCCGCTCGGTCATAAATCGAAAACGGTCTCTGCAAATTAATGTGCACGCTCGCCGGTCTGCCCCACTTGGGAGACTCGCGTGAAGAGAAAAGTACGAGGCATTAAAAGGTAAAAAAAAAGTAAAGACTGAGAAGAAGCGAGTGTCAATATTATGTCGCGTGTGCGATTTCATTCATTGCACTCTGCTCGTGAGTGTGAGTGCACTTTGGTGAGCGAACGAGAGTGGATTCGAATAACCAGCCTTCACTTTTCTTCAACTCCTGTGGTCACTCACTCACTCACACTCGAGCGGGTTGACGCTGCGCGATTGATTTATTATCTATCGTGTTGCATGCGCTGCACTGCAACATTATTTTAAAATAAAGTCGCTCCTGAGCCGATTTACCCCCTCGAGCGAGGTTATGCAACCTGAAGGGGAACCTTGTTCGCCGGGTTGCATACCAATAATTAAAATGCATTAATGAAACAAAAATTATAATATGAAAGAATGAAGTAAAAGATTGGAGTAATTTAAAATAACTACAAAGTTCATAAAGTTTGATTCAAAATTTCATTAATGAATGTTTTATAGAATTGGTAAGTAATTTAGAGGTTAATAAATAAATATAATTTTGAAATAATTATCATTATTAAAGAATGATATTAAATCAGGAGAAAAAATATTAAAATAATTAAAATAAATAATAAATATAACAAGAAAGTAAAAATTTAAAATAAATAATATAAAATAAAAATAAAATATAATTTCAATGACGAAAATAATTTAAAAAAATTTACTTTGGCTGTTCAATATATAATTATGAAAATACTTGTTTTAAAAAATCCATGGGTATTGTTTGGGTTTCTAAATTTATTTTCTCTTTAATCACTATTCAATGTTTGTTTATTTCTCTTTTCTTCTTCTGCACATGGGCTAGAGCTGCTTTCAATTCAAGTGGTACTTCGAATAGGAATCGAAAAGCGCATCTGAACAAACACCGGCTCCCGTTTTGTACGTTCTAAAAAAGGAGACGTACACACACGGCACTTACTGGAACAGAAGGAAAAAGCAGACCGAATGATGACACCGCAGAATCGCGACGATATTTTCGTACGTGTCGGTTGCACACAACTTTCTATACGCCGCGCCGCGTGTATTTATAATTTTTTTTGGCCTCTCGCGCGCGTCCACCGATCATTAGTTAATATCTTGATCAAGCAGTGCGCGGCGGCGACGGCTTTTCGAGTGCAAAGAAAGAAACGACAGAGATAAGACGCCGCTAATAATCGCCACTCGGCCCATAGAAAGTGGACGAAAACGCGCCTTAATTCCAGCTCGCTTACTTACAAATGTGAAACGAGATATCTCCGAGATGAATCGCATCTAGACTGCTGGGTGCGTGTGTGGTTATGTCAGTTGCACGCGCGAATCAAAAAACGTGAGGCAAGACTGCGAGCGGCAACCTCACTAATTAGCTAATTAGTAAATTAATTGGAGAAGCTCGGTGTTTTAATTTTTCCTAGTTCTCAATTCCCTCCAGAAACTCCAAAAATTGCAAGCAAAAAGACCTTACTTTCTTTATATAAAATAATAACAGAACAATAATTAAAATAATTCATTTTGGTTTTTTTTATTACTCTTAAATATTTCCTTTTTTTTAATCCGTCGTTAGTAATTAATTTCACTTTTTTTCTCTCAATTTAACTTGTCCTTTCTGAACAAAATTTTCATATTTCAAATAATTTTCTGCAAGTTCTGATTTTCTTATTTATTTTTTGCCTCAATTCCGAATTGGCATTCAAGTCACTCGGAGGAGAAATGAACTTGAACCATCGAATGCATTGGTTATTAAACTTGCGGGCAGCGTGACTTATTTTGAATCGACTGCTCGGCCCCGTGCCAAACTCACCGCCGGCCTTCTGCAAGCCACGAGGAAATAATAATTTCTTTCTTTCCAAAGTGGCCCAATCAATTTCACGAGGCGTCGGAGGAAGCTTGAAATTCTTATCCGAGATCACGACTCGCCGTTTAACCCGCGACAAGATAACCTTTTGTTGCTTTTCGCGCCGACCTTGACACTGCCGCGCCTCATTGAATGGCGCGTGATTGTGCAGAAAAGTGCACTCGCGGATGAATGTACCGAGTTAAAATGCGGATGAAGAGAGATACGGTCTACTTCACACGACGCATGCAGCAAAAACACATGCTTCTCGTTATTAAGTGAGTTGCTTTCTCAACAGGGTGACCCGCTAGAGAAGAAGAAGTGTCAAGTGTGTTTGTCAAAATCTCCAAGTGGGCGCTTCGAAAGAACCTGCTGCGCTTCTGTCAATTAAATTAACCAACCAAGTTGGGCAACGACGATCTTTGTGATGAAAATGCGACTTCTTGATTAGCAAATTAATCGAAGGCTTAGCCGAAATTCGGAAGGTTCTTTATAAGGAAATGAAAGAAAGTTCCTTTCGTCCTAATCCTTCCGTTATTTTTGACAAAATAATTTCCATGTTAATTTTACGCCTGATTTAGTGATCAACGTTTCTAATTTTTGATTTTTTTCCGAACAAAATTATAATATTTTTGATTAATTTACATGCCGCTGATTAGAGAGTGACTTTCTTTCTTTCTCTCAGTTTTGGATGCTCGCAAATCGAGACAAATTGCGCCAAATTGACCCACTTCTCGTTCTTCTTCTCCGTCGCGTATACTTTTCATATCGCCGTCTCGAGATCGCTGCACGTGCCAAAAATTAAGTGCGTTGGCCGCGCCAGACTTTTTATATATTAGCCGCTAATAATGTGTACTAAAAGCGGCGATTTTATTATGCATGCACGATTTCTTTTTCTCTATGCAGTGGGCAAATGTAAATAAATATACATAAAGCAGCTTTTAATCGGCTTTGGCAGCAACTCCCTGTTAATCCCTCTTGTTCTACCACGATACGGAGAGCGTATCTTTTGGTGGTTATCCCGGCGAGAGAAAGAAGCGGCCAAATTAAATTTTTTTTTCTTCACTCTCCGTCCGAGCCTCGAGAGACGTGGATTTTTTTCTTAATGCGGCCGCGTGCATACTTGTTACGCACGTTTGTATTCACTTTCTATAATATGTGACGGAATTTTCGCGGGCTACGTGATCCGAATTTAAGCTTGTGCATGTCATTAAGTTTGTGCCCGTAAAAGATGCTAATGTCAAAATAAAACTGCTCCCTGCATCCAATTACATGACGAGAGAGAGAGACGCACAAATTTCGTTTTCAAAAGCACAAGCTGGTCTCTCCGAAAACTTTCTTCCGTGTTCGTACTTTAAGAGTTTAACGACTCAATTCTTCCTTATCAAAATACACCAAATTAAATTTCGTATTCATTTCAATTTTTTTTAATATTGCAGAAGAGAGGATTTTATTATTAATTTGAATTAATTCTTCACCGAAATTCAATGTGTTTTTAGCACATTGAATGTGATTTTTAATCTGTTTATATTCGCATATTTTTTAAATTCACCTTTCTTATAACTTTACATTCGTTTTTTTTACGGAAATGATTTATGCACAACACCCACTATGACTTTATCGAGTCCATTTTTAGTATTTTTTTCTTTCAATAAAATAAATAAAAATCGTATAATTAGTGCCAAAGCGAATATTGTGGGTGTTCTGTGCACACCAAAAGAGCACAATTGGAGACGAAAATGAAATTCCCTAAAAAACCTTGACAAAAACATCACGCCTGACCCTGCTCAAGCCACACTTACATACATAATTTCCAGGCTTTTGCACGCGCTCAAGTCTCTCCGGTGATTTACTCGCGTGAGACCCACATTTCGAGCAACACAACACACTCGACGGGGTATTGAGGAAAACCAAAGTACTCTGAACATTACAATTAATCGAGAATTTATTTCCGTCCGGCTGCTTGTTCGCACAGTGTCGAATTTCTTTGGCTGACGGAAAAAAAACATAAAAATAAACGCGTCTCTTTCATCTTTATTGTTTTGGCCGTGGACTCGGCTCCATTCAGTGTCACGTTTTAATGCCAGGCAGTTTAGGAATTATAAGAAGTAAATAATGCGCAGCAATTGGATTCGTTTTCGTTTTTGTCCTGCCAGAGACATTCGGAGTGAGTTAAGCGAGGAAATAAATCAAATAAATTGGATTTTAGAGCTTCACGGATCGATTGAGACGCGATCACTTGTACTTTCTGCAATTTAAATTTATGATAGAGTAATATTGCAAGATTGCAAGATTATTGAGCCAATCTGCAAATCGCAACAAAAAATGCAGAAGTATGGAATAAATTTACTGACCTATATATTAGTAGATTAATATAAATCATATATAACTGAAGCAAAAAATGAAGTAAAATCTACTAAAATTTATGATTTTTTTTTTTAGATAAATTGCAGTTTTCTGTGTGTTGAGGAATATTCATTTCTAGATCGTGTTTTTTTTAATTATTTCATATTTTTATAAATTTTTTATATTATTTTTGCACAGTTTTTTACTCTAATTTTTTCTTATTTCATCTCATATACAAATTATGAATTTTTGCCTTTCCTTTTCTCGCAAATCACAAAAAAATATTCAGATAATAATAAAAAAAACGTACCTATTTCTGGATCCAGGACGGGGCTTTTCCGGCAAGGTGCCGTTGAAGGGCGCGGGGGTGGTGGTCGACGTCGTACTCCTCGTGGGGTAGACGAAGGAGGGTGGTTTGTCGGGGGACGATTTGGCGCCGAAAGCGACGGCGGCGAGTAACAAGAGGAGCCAAAGCGGCGATTTTGGCACCAGCACGGCGACGCGGCGCCTCATGGTCTATCGAATGTCAGTTCACCAGCACGCACTTGTGTAAAAGTCCTGCCGGCGCAGAACAAAGAGAGGAAAAGAAAGAGATCGATGGGGCGAGCACGCAGAGGTAGGCAGCAAGCAGTTCTTATCCTTCGGCGCGAGCGGTCTGCACTGGTGTCTGCAGCATTGGCAGGCGGGCGGGCGGGCTATGGCGGGCGGGCGGCTGCCGAGGGAACTAACTTTCACTCCACTACAGTCACTCGGCCAGACCTGGCTGGCCAAAACGCACCAACCTGAGGCGCAGGTGGAGGGAGGCAGACCTTATCACTCAGTGGAGGGGTCTATATCAATATTCCATACTTGATCAACAAATTATCCGGAAAATATTTTAAATAAATAAAATTTATAATTTAATTTATTATATTTTCAGGTAGCGAAATTATATAAAATTAGTAGGTCAGTCTGGGAGAACATTGATTGCCCCACCCTGTTTTAATGTACACACACACAGAGCCGTAACCGAGTTTTCTTTCTTTTTTTGTATATATGCTGGGAGGCTGGCAGACTGGTTGATCTGCGCTTATATTCGCCACCATTCATAGCCGGCCCGATTCACCTGCAGGCCAGGATTGTGTCACCAAAGCGAGGTGAACGGCCAAAACCGAGTGATCTCGCACTGCGGTCGCGCACTGATCTAGTGTGCGTGTCCTTTGGTTGCGGCTACACCACTTTTTTGTCGTCCCTCCGCGTGTCTTAGGTAATGGCCGCGGCCACCTTTTCCGAATACGGACACGAGAAATCTTTTCCTTATACTCAAAATTTAATTACGACGACGAGTACTGTTGTTCAATTTTTGCTTAATTTTGCAACATGCACCCACTTTCTTTAGATACTTTTTTTACCAAGATTGAAATTAATGTCTTGCTCGGTGCGCCGAGAGAGAAATGATGAACATTACGAGCGCCTAATTTAAATGTTGCGCGAGCTGATGAGACTGTTAATGCGTCGCCACTTAAGGAAGGTGCTTATTTGCGATGAAGAAAAAAAACTTAATTCATGATTTCGCAATAGGAAGTGAAAATTGTGTAGATATTCTATGCATAATGAGAGCAAAAAATCGAAACTAGAGCTGCAAATGGTGATGTGCGCAATTTACTATTAATTTAGTCTAGCGAAACCTGAAATTATCTTCAAATGTTGATGATGTTCTATCATTCATCCCAGCCCTAACAGGAATTGCTAAAGAAGGTAAAGAAGTAAAAAACTTCCCTTACATCATTAATCATTAACGAGGCTAATTGCGGTGGAAGGGATCTTTTTGATCTTGAAAGTTTTTTGCAAAATTCTTGCTATTGGTGGTGCCGTTTTGTCCTACAATTCATTTTTTCAAATAAATTGTTTGCAACAGTTGCATGTAAAAATTTTATTTGTAACAATTTGGGCATCTAAGCAACAATTATAATCAAAGCGGATAGAGAGAGAAAAGGCAATTTAAAAGTCTAGAAAATTGGTCCAAAAAAAGATATAAATATGGATAAAAGTTGCAGTTTTAAAATATTTTGCAAATAATTTTTTTAATCAAACAGGTGATAGATATTGTAATATTTTTATTTTTTCAAAATCAAAAGTTGTGAATAAATTTCAAATTTTTGTTACAAGAAGTGCAAAAATCGTAAAATAAAATCTGTCGATTTATTGTAAAGTTTGCAGATTGGCTCATCCATCTCTCTACAACTTGAAGCATATGATTAAAAAATTCAATAACAAACGAGACCTTCCTCTAAAAATAAACAAATACCGGTGCTTTAAGCTGCCTAGTCATCAATTTCTAGCACGAAAGATATCGTTTCCTAACCCAGAGAGTTTCTACTGTTGAGGCCCGCGGTCAAGTGTGCACAATGATGATAGAGGATGACGCACGTGGGTTACTCTGAAAATGAAAGAAAGCTCCCGGGTCACTTTTCTCGTTCAAAATGGAACCATTTTCGCATCACACTATACTTTCCTCCAGTTCGCACAATTAGAACAAATTGAAGCAATTTTTGCAGACAAATGAGTCTCGAAATTCGATTCACTCGGAAGAAAAGAAGCTTTTTTTTTCTTTAGGGGAGTGCCCGGTCGTAAGTGAAACTGTGCCCGTTTGTTTTATTGCTCGCCGGCAATTCTTCATACTTAAACACGTACGTACAGTACAGGTGTGCATCTGGAGTTCATAAAAGCGGCGTGTACATTTTCGCGAGAAAACTCGTAAATTATCAACGAGTTGGATGAGAAAAATGTAAAATTTCTCGCGACTGCGCGAGTCAAGTGACCTTTTGCAGCTAATAAATGTTAATTTTATCATCAACCCGGCAAGCAGGGACAGCATTTGCATCGATAATAATATGCTTAAAAAAATCAATTTATTACACCATGCGAATTAAACAGTTCAAAAAATAATTTATTTCCCGTTTTCCCAGTGATTTCGAGCTTATAATAAAATTTGCCGGGGTTTTTTTTTTAATTTTTTTAACCAATCATTGACAGAGAAGTAAACATTAAAATTTTAATAAAATTTAAAAAAAGTTTCATTAAAACAGTTGGTGCACAATCCAGATATTGCAAGGAGTTTGAAAATATTCATAAAATGAAAAAAAAAATCCAGAAATTTCTAATAAAATCTCTTTTTATTTTTTTGGAGTAAAAAATTGTTTTAATCTCACAATATTTCCAACCAAAATGACGCAATTTCCAAGCATCCATTGCGTCAGTATAAACTTTCGAGTGAATTAAAAGAAGACAAACAAAAAATGCGTGGATTTAGATTTTTCTCACGTGCTTTATCTGCACGTTGAATGTTAATGAAGCGGGTAGGTAATTAAGAGGTAGCGCTCGGGCGCGTTGGTGGTAAACGATGATCCAATTTCGCCCACTTGACTTTCAGATTATTGCCCATCGGAGATCGGATTACTTGGCGCAATAGACTCGGCCACATAAGTACACGTGCAGTACTCGCAAAGCAAAGGTCTGCGCAAGCACTTGGCTCTCGTGGTTTTGCCATCTGGGTGATTGATTCGCGGCTCGCTAATGCGATTATAATTGCGTCCGCCTGTTGATTCCTCCACCGGCAATTAGAAGCAAAAACTCGCGGGGGTCGCGCGCGTGGTCATCGGTGAAACCTTTTGCACACAAATTTTTCTAATAGAATTTTGCAATTTATTAGAGAATGAAACAATAAACCTTGCACGTGTTTATTGCGAGAAAAATATATTGAAGCAACAATTTTTGATGTAATTTGTATGCATCACGACGACCATCAAATTTAACCTCATTCCATAGGAGTGTATTAAAAATATTAAATAAAAATTAAATTAATTGATATTTTTGCAGTAAATTTTGCAAATTACAAAAACTGGCAATGGAAAATTAGATTTTGTGAATCATTATTTGAAAACTTTCAAACTCTTTTCAATTTTTGATAATAATTAGGCTTTAATAATTTAATGGAAAACAGTTAAAATTACTTCAATCCAATTTCTTCAAATTCATTGGAAACTTTCTTGATTTTCCTCTCTAAAACTGAGTATTTGAAATATTCTTCTATGAAAATCAGTCTTCAGACTTTTCTCTTTTATTGCTAAATAATTGGGGAAAAAAATCTAAAAAATTCCTTCGGTAAATTTTTTTTTTTATAATGACATTTTAGATTAAAATTTGAGCCAAATAGTTGTCATTTTTTGAAGCAATTTTTTTCTTTTTTTACAAGTTTGACATTTTTACCAGTAAAAGAATTAAAAAGATTCATCGTTTTGAATGTAATTCAGCATGAAACTTTTTTAGAAACTTTCGCAACCATAAATTTTTAGAGTTTGGTGATTTTTTGCTATCGACCATGTTTTAAAATATTTTCCCAAGCATAAAATCCTTCGATCTTTGACGCGACCTATCATCTCAAACTTTTCATTCATGACAAGCTTCAAGAAGTCAAAAGTCGGCCCGAGTGGAAATAAAACCGCGGATCGTAAAATCCGGAACATAATAATCAAATTAATCCGGGCGTGTAAAAAGTGCGAGCGAGTGAAAGGAAAAGTAGTAAAAGAGGCGCTTGGGCTTTTCTCCGGCGCCCCATTGATCGAGAGTCGTTCGCTCCGTCGGCCGAGTTGACATCGCGCGGATAAGTGACATTATAGACTCTTAAAATCGGAGTATTGATGGACCCGCGACCACAACCTGTCGGCGAGTGAGAAACTTTTTTACTCTCAACGTTTGGATCTGGAGTCGAGAACCTCAAATTTGTCGCCTGCTTGCGGTGGAAAGGAAAATTGATGATTGAAAACTCGTTCTCTCGCGCGGTGGTAAATTGTTTATCTGACGCACAAAAACGTTAAGTAATAGTGCTCGAGATAAACCACAGCAGGCAGTGTGTGTTTGTCGGATATATTATGTGCTGGTTTATTGATTTCGGTTTTGTGTAAATGCGTTCGAAACACGGCTTATCTAATTACGTCCACCTGTCCTATCGTTTTTGCACGTGGCTTTAACCTGCGCCGCAAAAAGCCGTCAAATTACTTTTTCATATAAAAATACCACATAATACTAATTAAGTTTACACCATAAAATATACATTGAATTGGAAACTGTTAAAAAAATTATATCAATTAAAAAAACAAACAAAGTTGCTGCTTTTATTTTATAAGTGAGTGTTAATAAAGTGACATAATTAAAAGCAAAACTATTAAAACAGTATTATTTTTTTTTTAAATAATTTTTTTTTTCTTTTTCAAAATACATTATTTCAAGTCTTAATAATTTTAATACTATCGAAATTAAAATAATATAATGCTAACTGCTTATATATCTTGTAATGTTTGAAGATAAATTTGAAAAATTTATTTTGTATATTATGGGGCACTTGCTTTCTCTAGAAATTAATCAAAACTGAATATAAAATTCTGAGTATTTTTGGCTAATAAGACTGATTAGATGAAGATTCAAAACTGAAATTGAAATATAAATTATAAGAAAGAAAAATGTAGTGCTTTGAATTAAAGTCAGCTCATCAACGATGGGATTTGTGGTTCATTAATAGTTTAAGAAAAAACAATAGACATGAAATTAGTAAAAAACCATTTTTTTGCGCTTCTCACAATTCTAAGGCAAGAAATATCCCCTTCACTGATTTTTCTACTAGATAATAAAAAACAATGTACCTTTTGTAAAAAAAAAACTCTAACCTGGGA